TCACGTGCCAGACCCTCTTCCTCCCCGCCACCTCCCGCGCGGACCTCCTCAACCTCTCCAATCTCCCCGCCTCGGCGCTCTCCCACGACTTTGTCAAAGACCTGGCTGCCCTCCATGAGCTCATTCTCTCCCGGCTTCGGCCCAAGCCCGCGCCGGCACCGCCCACCTCCACCGGTACCCGCAATACGGACAGAGGATTGGCCTCGGAACACTTTTTGTCGGGATCTGCGTGGGCGAGCTTGGTCCGTATCGTGGTCGAGGCCCTCTCCTCCGGGTATTTGAGCGAGGTCCCGGGGCGATGGCAGTTGTTCGAGACGCACCTGCGGACGGCAGCAACCCGAGCTGCCTTGGCCACGTTCCGGCGGGACCTGACTCGTCGAAGGCAGCAGGAGCCGAGGGAGGGCTTGGGGAGGGGCACGGAGGAGGGAGGGAGGGAGGACTCGGAGGTCTTTCCCCCCCTGGTTCCCCCCACCTCCCCGCCCTTGACCTTGCGCGAGCTCCACGACCTCGCCTCGAAGGCCTCAGAGGCGGCCCATACCCTGCTGGAGAGGCTCTTGGTAGGTTTGCCCCGCGCGCAGTGGCAGGCGTCGAGGGAGCTCGGGAGGGAAATAGAGTCCGCCACGGCGGTGGTGGTGGCGGAGGAGGAAGGAGAGATCAGGCGGTACCTGCACCGGGTGGGGGGCTGGGTGATGGGGTTGCGGGAAAGGGAGGGATGGGAGGAAGACGCCTGGCCGGTGCCGGAGAAGGCGCTGGAGGAGCGACTTGTCCGGGAAGAGAGGAGGGCGATGGAAAAGTTCCAAGCAGTGGCGGGGCCTTACAGGAGGGAGGGAGGACGGGAGGGCCAGGCCATGTGCAAAACGGCGCAAAGGGACCTTGAGGGGCAGCTGCGTGCAAAGGGGAACGAAGAGCGGCTTGCCAACAGAGAGGCATTGCAGCAGCGCTTAGAGGGTTCGAGAAAGGAGGCGGTGGGGCGTTACGAGGCCAGGATGGAGGGGAGGGGGCCGGCACAGGGGATGGAAGGGGAGGGATGGAAGGAGGGAGGGAAGGAGGGAGGCTTGCTTCCTCTCCCACCGGGTGTGTACCTCCCCCACACGTTGCAAGAGCGGCATGGCCGCCTCGCCAACGAGGCAGTCGCCGGCTTTTTTAGCGATACCCGGATGTTTGAAAAAGAAGGCACGCACTCCTTGCACGTCCATGCCCTGAAGGCGGAAATAGAGCAAGTTTTCCAGCGGAGGCAAGCGAGAAACCGCGAGGAAGTGGGTAGCTTTTGTCTGCGGGTGAAGGAAGGGTTGCGGCGGGAGGTGGAGGGGCGGGTGGAGCGCCTGGATGACGTCTTTGATGAGCTGGAGCTTGAAGAGGGGCTCCGTGCGGCGGCGATGACGGTGTTGGGAGACAAGGGGGAAGGAGGGAGGGAGGGC